CATAATATACGGCAGTTCGAGAGCAATGAGACATCAAGTACATCACAAAAACAAAATTTTGTCTTGTTATCGTGACTGTGAATTGATTTTACTATCATATAACGCTCACGTAAGATAAAAAAAGACAACAGTGAATGGAGACAGCGGATCCTAATGTTACTTTTCTCCAAGACTGTGCACTATTCTACCAACGTGCCTACTCCTCAAGGCTGTCCTGGGCGAGAACTAGTTGGCCGAGAACTACAAACTGAAGGGAATGGTGTATGTCCCCGCCTTCTCTCTGTGTTATTTTTTTGGAGTTACATATAACAAAGTGCAAATCTGCATCAGTATAGATAAGAATGCAGCAATATACTTCAAAAATAGATGCTTTTCTAGAGACTGTTTCGACTGTAGTTAAGGACAACTTCAAGATCGACTAGTTTGGACATTCATTTAAACTTTTTGTCTTTTGTCGACATTAGACGTTTTGAAATTATAGATCAGACCAATTTCTCGAAAAATTCAGTAAGATTCGTTGAGCAAATCCTCTTTCTCAGATAGAAATCGTATAAGATCGCCCGAAGAGGCACTCAGCGCATATGAAGCGCAGATATTTTGGCTGAAACCTGCGCATGCTTCCATAGCCCGTATAGGTTCAAACACAAGGACTGCAGAAACCGCGTTAACTTGTTAGCGATCACGACAACGCAAGCGACAATATTGACATAGGGATAATGCATCCTGAGATAACATGTGATACAAAAAGAATGGATGTAAAATATGGCTTAGGATATGCGCGGCGGGTTGCCGTTGAGTAACAGCAAGCACCGAATTATCATATGCGTATGCATCAATAAGTACACGGACCGGCTGCTAAGCTGAAAATAGCGAATCACCGTAGAGCTACGCTAATTCTACAGACTATAAATGGTCCGTATAGGAAAAGCCCACAGCTTTTTAAATAGAACAGGGCTGAGCTCACGATAAAATCATGCAACTTCTTTCATCTTCTTCTTCTTCAGTTAAGCTGTAATGTTAAAGATAAGAAGGTGCCCTATCGAGATAAGTCAATTCGAACTTTACGTATGTCTTTGGACCAAATTGCTCTTATGGTCTCTATTTTACCCCAGGTCACTTCAAAAGACTATGATACGGAGGAAAATGCGGTCACTCGTTACAAGATAATTGGTAATAACGAGGACGCCTCGCTATTTTACTTGGACGAGGAGACGGGTTGGCTTTATGCTATTGCTCGCTTTGACAGGGAATCACGGGACCACTACAGCGTGAGTACCACCCAAATTTAAACCTCTTTTACAAAAATGGACTTCCTCTGTTGTCCAGTGTTTAATGAGTATTTATACTCTGCAGGGTGTATAATTTCTCTGGCTCTTTTGCTTAACTGTGCACATATTGATTTTTTTCTATTAGTGTCGCCATTGCTGCATTCCATACAGCCCTCATAAAATATTTTGACATTATAGATGTGCTCCGTTACTCCACAAAAGCTGAAATCTTCAAAATGATAGTATAATTTTCAGTCTAATAACAGTGAAGGAGCAGACCTTTTCTACATTAAGAAGGGGTCCCGGAAAACACTAGAAAGCATAGTGCAAGGTTCTTTCTTATTTGTACGTACTTAACATGTCTCCTAGCATGAAACTAACGCCATAACTGCAGTTCCAGTACTTTAACAGCAGTCATAGTCATCGTGAAAAAGTGGCGAGGGCATCTAAGGCAACTCCAGCACGGTTCTACTGTGCATTGTGGGTGGGCATTGCGTGCACATAGTTCGGGCAGTGGACGGACGAGACAGTGGCTTAAACTTTGCTCACCCCAAATCCGTGAACCATCCTAAGCATTGCATGTGCTGTTGCGAGAAACGCTTTGAATCAAGAAGTACATGGTACACAAAGACACATCTAATAATCTTGTAGTCAGAGTTGAAAGCCTCCTTGTCATAAGCAACCGAATTAATAAAGAGAGTGTCTAGAATCTGTTATCATGCTTTTACATTTTGAGATAATTTTCAGCCTATGGGAACCATTCGTTACTAGATCAAAAATGCATAGAAAGATCTTAACTTTATCCAAACGCATCCAGGGAATATATGTAACTAATCCGTTACAATAATGGTCAGCTGACAGGTTTTGGCTGGTCTGACGTAAGTAGTTGATAGAACCGAATGTTTCCTTTTGCTGATTAATTGGCAGGCGGTAAATTCATGACCGATAACCAGGAAGGAATTTTGCAACCAAAAATGAGCGATAAAAAGGCGAATTCTGGTTGTGCTTTCGTTGTCATTTATCCAGGTGTCAGGCAAGGGTCGTCTTTGCTTACTTCAGGTGCGATCGTAACCGATAAAGTGGATAGCAGCGCCATGCTATAACAGGCCATAAAACTCAATGATTCCGTTTAAATTCCAGCTTCTCCTAATTCGGAGTTGGCACGTGACTGGTTGATGCTGGCCGTTAAGCTCAAAGCAGTAAATCAAGTTTTCACCTCCTATTAAGCCAAAATATTTCCGAGGAGAAACTTTGTAAAATTCAAGCGGAAGCAAATGCAGCAAAAACGAAAAGAAAGGCCGAACCGTTTATGGCTTTTGTATCTTCATGAGCCAGTCATTAAAAAATACGAAAGAAAAACCCGAACAAAAGAAACGCCGATCATTTTAGTCAAAAATACCAATACCTGACAAAGGGGTTGAAGTCTGGTACACGGCGTTTGCAAACATCGAAGGATGTTAATAGGGATGGCAATATATGAATCTACTTCAAGTGCAAATGAGTTCGTTCCGGCTTGTCTTGAAGTTGTAAAAGAATTCCCTCACCGATGGCGTAAAATGACCAGAGCAAAGAAGCAGAAAGCCCACACAACTTTAAATATTTTTGCTTGCAGCTGGAAGTGCGTGATCCCTTGGCTCAAGTCGTGCTACTTGCCTAATCGTCAATGTTTTAAAAGACAATTTGGCGAGAGGACA